CAACCACACTTGGAGTGGGTTGTTTCCGTAGGTGGATTTTTGACGCGGGTCTTACCCCGTGTTGAGATTGCGCTGGAACCCCCATTCCCTATACTACTACGTGAACATTTTGGACACAGTCACCTAAAATGAAATTTTGACCAATCAGAACTCGCGTTATAGTATTTTGAAGTTATTAAACAACTAATCTCTTGAAAGCTATTGAACAAAGAAAAAAAACACAAATGAACAAACACAAACAAACAAACAAACAAACAAAAAACAACAACAAACAAACAAAAGTCATATAAGAAAACTTTCGAGTATCATTTTGAAGAAAAATTTTCAAATCATGAATTTTAAAAAAAAATTCTATCTTCTCTATTAGATTTTGGTTATTGTCCAGAATCATTTCATCAACAAGGTTAATTTGTGTATTGTATATAAAGAAGAATAGACTGTAAAAAGAAGTAAGAGAGAAATAATAAAATGGTAAAAAAGGATAGGAAAGATAATGAAAGGAAAGGAAAGGAAAGGAAAGGAAAGGAAAGGACAAATAATGGCTACATTTACAATCGTTAAGTTTTTTTAAATTTTAATGATGAACCATGAGGTTGCTCTTACTGATGTAAAACACATTGACTTGTGTTCATTAGTTATAGTCTCAGTCATTTTCAGCTTTTTCCGCGCTTTTCTACCCACCCCTCCAACCCTCCCCCCAAGTAATGACCAAGCTGGAATCTTTGCCGATTCTATTTACATGATATTACTCGAAATGTATTTATATTACAACAAAGTTTTTCTACAGCAGACATTTTTGATATATTTGTAGAATAATAGAAGGTGTTTTATGACCTTCCTGGTTAACTTAAATCCCCAATATTCCAGCCTTGTTATTCTCAATCGTGTATGTGCGCACACGCGTGATATTTTAACTCATCGCTATTCGAAATGAACGTAACAAACATGCATGATAGAGCGTAGTACGTAAATCGCCTTGGGCTAATCAAGTAATTTTGACATGAAAAAGTTTGTTTTGCTTTGTTTTTTCTTTTCTTTTCTTTTCTAATGTTAATTATTGTTAACATTTCAAAAAGATATCTTGTTAGTATTCTCTTATTTTTTATTTTATTTTTTGAAAATAAAATACCTGATTTGCTAATCTGTCTTGAATTTTTATTATCAATGCATTCAAAAGCAGACTCTACAGACTCCTATCCATTGTTTTACCACTTGACTTAATAGTTAAGTTATCTATCGATTATTAGAGTGAGGTCATTAAATCCGTGAAATAGTTATTAGGCTAATGCACTTTGGTAGGGAGTCGTAACACGTCGAGTTGGACTTCGAGTTCGAGTTCGAGTTGGACTTCGAGTTGGACTTCGAGTTCGAGTTCGAGTTGAGTCCGTCATAAATAGCTACTCAATAGCACAAGATCACTAGCCAGTGGGAATTTACCGTTATATTTTCTATCAATCTTTTTTAAAGAACTCGAAATGCGAATTTCGAAATAAACCTGAAGATATCTTGTGACTTCCTTTCTGGGTCTACTACTTTAATTCGCGAATTAATTCGAAAATAAACATACAAAAACCACTCACTCGTTATATATAGCTGGTATATTGTTTAACATGTTAATGCCCGAAAGATGTTTATTACAAATGACAGAGTGGTATAAAATGCTTTAGCGTATTTAGAACTACTTCACTCTAATTCTTTTGTTTGCTGTTATGTTTATTTGACTAAATATACACTATAATTAGTACAATATGAATTCATATAAAATTATATGGATCGAACCCAGACTTTCCAAATTCCACTCACCACTGAGTATTATCTACATTTTTTTTTTTTTGCCAGAGGTTCATTTATTAAACGTTAAACGCTGTGTCGATATGGCCGGCAGCCGGCCAGGGCCTTCGAATTACTAAATGGCCGGCAGTCAAGAATTTTTGTTTATATCTAGCTGGAAATATAGCCAATCGCTTCCAAGCTACTCTAACTTTATTCTATTACCCCAAGCGAACACGAAAAACGTTTTAGATCTCATATTGTACTTTTCGTCGATGCCCGACATAGAATACGAAGCCATGAATTCAGTGAGACAGAGAAATCMCCACACGACTGCCGGTCAAAAGGCAACACGAATTCCTAAATGACCGGCAGTCAAAAAAATGCACTTTTTTTCCAACCCAATCGCTTTTTAAAATCAAAAAAGGCTCGGTTTTTTTAGATTCGTTTGGACTGCGACAATTGAGTTGAAGTATTTAAATTTCGGGGTAAAG